TCCATCCATCCATCCATCCATCCATCCATCCATCCATCCATCCATCCATCCATCCATCCATCCATCCATCCACCCACCCACCCCTCCATCCACCTACCCACCCATCCATTTATCCATCCATCCACCCACCCAAAATACTAACTAAACCCATCCCATGCCATCCCATGCCATCCCTCCCTCCCTCCCTCCATCCATCCATGCCATAGGAAAACCTACCTTAATTCTTCATCAAATCTCACTGTAGCAGCAGAGTGGAAAAATATTTCAACATTTTCAACAACGAGGAGCCTGTCTTCTTCTGACATGCCAAGACCTGGCTCAGCTATGTCGCCTTTAATGGCTACAATTTTTTCTGTAAGCTGCGCAATATCTCTGACACTTTGGAACAACTAAAAGAACATTTTATAGTTTAGATATCTGTTACTGTAGCAATAATATACAGTTCTTAAGTGATAAGGTCATAAACAATTATTGTGATAAAATGAACGGGCTGCCCCCTTAAATTAGGGAAGCATGGGTGTCGCCATGGTGAGAAGGCTTGCCTTGCACCAATTTGACCCAGATTAGATTCTTGGACTCATCATATGTGAGTAGAGTTTATTGGTTCTCTCCTGTGCTTTGAGGGTTTTTCTCTGTGTTCTCCGGTTTCCCTCCTTCCCCAAAAATCAACTTCTAAATCCTACTTTTATCTAGAAGTGCCTAGATGAAAATTACTCTGTGTAATTTTAGCTACCCTACCAAGTTTTGTAGTTTGTTTTTTTAAATACCTTGGACTGAAGGATCTTCTCAATTCTCTGTTGAGGTGTCAGGTCTGCTCGAGCTCTTACCAAAACATAGATTTTCTTTATATCTTTACATGACCTTAGTAACTTCTCCAGAAGAACTTTACCAAGGAACCCTGTTGCTCCAGTGATAAACACMTTCTTGTTGGCATAGAAATCTTCTATTGATTCCATGTTTGTAGATCTTGGATCCTTTTTTTAGTTTAAGACTGGACTTTGCTTTGCCAGTGAAGTTCTTTACAGTATATCCTTCATCGAAGATCTGGAAGTTAAAGCAGATTAACAAATAAACATTGATCAAGAACAGCAGCAGATTAAGAATTTTAGAAAGAGTTGTTCCAAAATGGCTGCTCATGCCAAGGGAAAAATTACTCGATTGGCATTAATTCCCAAAGAGGGGAATTTCAGAACATAATCAGCTGAAAACCATTAAGCCACCCCTGAATTTGCAATATTTCAACAAAGCTTTGTTACTGTCTTCTAATTATGGACAGCCAGACTGCCTGAATTCATAAACAATTTAATATAATTATATTTGAAACTGAATTCTGGTAGATATATATCTACATATCATGTGATATACATGTGCATGCCCTCATGTCCGGTAATTAATTTCCAGATAAAGTAGTACCAAGACGTGACTGGGAAGTCCTATTGTTCTATTCAGCCAAATTTAATGTACATAGCTAGTTCAAGTAATGATTATATTAGTAGTACCAAGATGTGACTGCAAAGTTCTATCGATCTACAGTATTCAACCAAATTTTAACAACATGTGTAATGTATACATACATTAAAGATATATATGCATACACATCTGGTAATGAATTTCCAGGTAGTATAGGTACCAAGACGTGACTGGAAAGTCCTATTGTTCTATTCAACTAAACTTTAAGGACACTTGACCTTTGACTTCTTGTCTAGACTGATCAAAAAAAATATCCAACATGCAAGAGTTTGATGGTGATAATAATTAGACACCCCATACAGGGTAAGAAATTCAAGTTTCTATAAAGTCCACAAAAAGATTGGGAAAGAAATTTTTTAAAAAATTGGAAATATTTAGAATAATAGTACTTAGAATGAGTCATTAGGAATAAATAGAAAATCTGCTAGTTTCAGATTCAAGGCTGACCAATCTACGTACATTGATACAAAAGACTTGTTTAACGGTACATGCTTAGAACTGCAACAAACCATAGTTCATCGTTTGCAGTGATAAGAAATTCAGTCCCTATTTATGACTTGACCTGAGGAGGGTACACGACTTTAAACAAGATTCAAGTCTGGCCTTAAAAAGCATTTTTGACCTCGCTATTAAAATTAACGCTATGTGCCATCCAATATACTTTATGTTTTAATCTTAGTACTTTGTAACTTTAATTTTTATATTTTGTACTATATTTTCTGTCTGTAAGTTTAATTTAAACAGAGCCCCATTCAAAGAAGCTTTGCTGAACTGGTCACCTCTGTATAAATATTGTTGATAAATAAATAAATGAAATATAAGAGTCCCTGTTAGTAGAAAAGAAGCAGAGGGAATAGTTGAGGTAGATTACGAGACTCAGTATCTATATATCATTTTATAGAATACATCCAACAAAGAGGACATTTGTTGCCATTGGCTTCTCCGAGCTAAGAATCTTAAACTGCTAATTATGGATAAAAATCAGTAACTATCATGATCAGTATAGACAAGCAAGGGAAGAGAGGTGAACTACAACCTACGAAGATCATTAAATGGAACACTTGTAACACATACGAGGAATATAGTTGTCCTTATCATCTCCTTTCACCTAAAAAAAACTTAGCTATTACTGAATAATGCACCGCCTCTCACTAATGCGACCTAGGTTCGAGTCCTGCCAGTCTCGATGTCATATGTGGGTAGAGTCGTTTGTTGGTTCTCTCCTGTGCTTCGAGAGTTTTCTGGGTTCTTGGGTTTTCCTCCCGCCTCAAAAATCAACTTCTAAATTCCAATTTCATTTTTGGGCTYTTACCTAGTTGGAGCTTAGCTCTGTTGTGATGGTCCCAAGGTGTGATACAGTTCAGCTAATATGTTTTTGATTTTTAGATTTTTTATAGAAATAATAAATTCCTCTCTCTAACTTAAAGCTTGAAAACTACAAGAAAAGCTAGTACAGCATAGCCTTACCTGTCAACTTCTAACCTTTGAGGCAGAACCAAGAGCGATACAATAACTAGTCTATTTCCAAAGACATTTATATAGCAGGTACTAAACCTCTTATAAGTCACATGTACCAACAACACAGGTCATGAACTATAGTTTAGGCACAATAGTTTCTAAGTGTTTTGACTGATTGTTGACTCAAAGTCCATAAGTCCACCTGGTATTTGGCAACCTCCGTTCACACAACTTACTATCATGTGATTGTATAGACACATGATGATACAGCAACAAATCAGTTTGCCCCATTTCTTGCTTACATTATAATGTCCATAAACTATAAGGATTTGTACATGTTGTAGTAAGGGATGTCTCTCTGTTTAATGGCCTACTGAATTAGAGATATATTTATTATGTAATGTGATGTATGAAAGCAGGATGTATAATATGGCTGTCAACAATGCTATATGTTTTAGACTGTGAGAACAAATGTAATATCTACAAGACACCATCATGGAAATTAAGAACACCATCACCATTATCATGATCATTATTTTCATCAATTATCAACACTACAATGATTATTACCATCATTACCACTATCATCACCATCATCATGTATACCCATCATCATCATGTACTATCATCACCTCCATTATCATCTGACAGGCATCATCATCATCATTCCACATGCATCATCATCATCATGCACCATTATAATATCATCACATGCATACACCACCACCATCATTCACATGCCATCATCATCAACTGACTTGCACATACCATTATTATAATGTACACCCCATAATCATCATCCGATATACATGCACCATTTTCATCATGCAATGCAATCATTATCATCTGACATGCATCATCATCATTTACATACAATCATTATCATCATCTGACATGCACCATCATCACCATCATGCACATGCCATCATCATCTGACATGCATCATCATCATCACCCTGCACACATGTACACTATCATCATCATCATCATGCACGCTCCATCATCATCAGCAATACCCCCATCATCTACATGCAAGATACTATATCATATTCAGTTTTTAGCATCTACTCATGAATCAATGGCCACCAGGGTTGTTAATAAAAGTTTTGGTAGGCAGTTATAAAATTGAAATAGGCGGTAAACYGGGAATCAGTGGAGCATGTAATCAAGACATACTTGTCACCAGTCTCACTCTTCTTACGAATCCAAGATGGCGGACAATGATCGCACTAGTTTCGATTGCATTAGAGTTTTCATAGTACAGCAACAAAGATTGGGTTAAAATTTATTTTATTCACATATTTTGCTAGTTTAAAGAAATTTAATCAAGATTTACAATTACTTTGGGAAGTGGCTGAGTAGGCAGCTGAATTTGCAAGACTAGACAGCAGAATCTGCCGTTTGCCGGCTCCTATTGACAACCCTGGGCCATTTATTTCAAAGTAGGCCACCTAGGTTCCTCGTATTTGACACCCAATGCCTACCTGTTTTGACTAGGTCATTACATTAAAGAAATAAACAAAACCTTATGAAATTTCAGGCAAAATTATGGCAAAACAAAATATCTCTACAGAGGCTACTTTAAGATACAAATATAGCTTGTAGACAAAATACTTATTCAAATGCAAGCTTGCATTGGACTTGCAAAAATTAATTTCATTTGGAYCTAAAATTTTAATTCAAAATAAACAAATGTATTGAAGTTAGATAATTGTACAAACTGTGTACAAATAATTTACAACGTACATCCAAATTTTAACTCTGCAGAATAAWTAAACTTATAAAGAAAGAAAACATCTTTGCTGAAGTTTTGCGATCTTTTGTTAAAAAGTTTGAAGTGAATAGCTAGAGTTTAAAATTACCGTAAGCTTATGAATATTCAAGCCCAGACAATGGTAGAGTTGTACAATAAAAATGGATGAATAAATTAAAAAAAGAACTCTTGAAATTAAGATAAAACAAAATAAGTTATTTTTAAAAATGAGACATAAATATTCAAGAAAGAGATTGACTTTTATCTTATAAATAATTCCAGTTATAAGCTATAAACCAGTTGAAGTAAGTCAGTGTGCACATAGTCTAAAGGTTGAATTTATAAGAATAGTCAAAAAAGTGGCGTGATTATAGAGGCGTGAGATTATAGTGGTGCAGAATTTTACCCCAAAAACCAACTTGGCAAATAAAATTTCGTATAATTATCAGCAATGCTTACTTATAACGTTAAACCTAAATAAATTATACACATCCGACGTGTTGCAGGACAATGCGTTGAATTATACCAATTTTAATCATGCATTATTCTGAAGTTAATAGAATAAATTTATCCAATATGTTCCCCTAGCTTAGAGATCCCTTAGAACGAGAAAAAAGAAGGGAAATATTTTTGGGATTTTCATATTAAATGGAGATCGGAACACCAGATTTTTTCTTACCTTTGAATTTTTAATTTCACTCTCAAGGGAAAATCCGCGCCAAGACGATATTACGACAGGTTGAGTCAACTGAGGTGAGTTGCGAAAGCCTCCCACGACGAACTTTCGTCGATTAAGACCAGTATTATTAGAAATACAGGATGTTTTCAAATCAAGCGTCAAGTGCGGGACCCTAAGGAGAAATTCTGTTTTGATTTCGTCGGAAATATTTTACAACTTTCGCTTGTCTGGACCCGACTTTCACTCTCAGTGATGATTCATTTGCATAACTGGGGACAGCGGTTGTTTAGTCTACTAACATGGGAGGGGTGGGAGAGGATTAATTTTGTCTTGTAACTAAATATAGAATGTTTATCATAAAGAAAATGCTTTTCTACTTGAATTTGAGCTACAAGATACACATACAAAATAGAAATCAAAATAAAAAATACTCACCAATAATAATTTCTGTTGGCATTTATAAATATGCTGCATCTAGCACAAGTGCAGCAAGCCAGGACAGATAATAAGGTAGAAGGAAGATTGACCATTCCAGGCAGAAATCGAAAGTCTTCCATGAATGAAGTCTCATGAAGTATACATTGGTTGTTATGGTAAAYATCATCATTACGGGTCAGCCCAATTTCTATTGAATTTTACATCACTAAATAAACCCATGTTTGGTCATGTGACACCTCATATGCAGGGCTGTCAACTCTCCCGGATAAACCGGGAGTCTCCAGATTTTGGACCGTATCTCCCGGTCTCCAGATTAGAGTCTCAATTCTCCCGGATAATCGCCGAAGCTGACCATTTCTTGTGAGACTCAACTTTCACAACCATAATTAAAATTCCAATTATTTTGTGTTGTTTGTGTTATTTTACATCGCTAACAAAATCAAAACGTTCCTCATAAACTGTTCTTGCAAGCAGGCCATTGCAATATAAGCGATAATCTGATTGGTCAGAAATAAACCAATCATATCAAATGTTACAAAGCGAAAGACGTCTTTTCRCGTGCTTTTTGACGCGCTGTGACGTCATTTCCCCTCCCTATCAATTCTCCAGATTTGAATATCTCGGGGGTTGACAGCCCTGCATATGGATTTTTGACWATGAAATTTTTAACAAATCATTAATTGGACTGCATAGAAGCTTGCATCTTGTTGAGTTTTACCTTCAAAATATTGAATATCTTTCAAGTAATCAAAAATACTGATTTTATCATTAGTAAATTAGGCGATGGATCCAGGTATCAACATGCTTGCACAATTTTGTAATTATAGAATCGAATTGGGAAATATCAACATGAATGAAAAAAAATAGTGAAAACGAAAAAAAACAGATGAATAACTGAATTACTAAAAGTAAAACTCTCCTCCCCCCCCCCC